AAGAAGCGACAGACAGTTGATATACACCTCATTAAAGCTGAAACTGTCATTTTTAATGGCATAAATTTTAAAATATACCAAATCATCTGGAATCTCCTGCTTAGATTATGTTCCAAACTGAGAAGCCATTTAGGCCAGTGGCGTTAAATTTGTTTTTGCAGTGCAATTGTGTCTTATGAATCTACAGCACACTGCCATAGTTGGATAATTTCTGAATAAATATAATTAAAAGAGTTTAGCACTGGTGTACAAGTGAGGAAAGACAAAATCCACCTCCTAGAACTGCTCTGGCTTAGGTATTTTTCTTTCATGTTAAAAATTAGACTCCTCTCATTTTCTCAAAGAAAATGACAAAGATGCATTTTATGAAGCAGAGAATATTTCTCAAAAGGAAGCATTGCCATTTAATAATAAGTGGGAAATTACTTCTTGGTGCTTCTATTCAAAGTTTCCTATCATCTAGTCAAGCTCTTTCTAGTCACATCTAATTAAAATGCATGCAATGCATTTCTTTAAACTCCATTAAACAAATGAAAGTTTACTTTTGTTGCACACGGGAATGTTTTTTTTTTTTTTTTTTTTTTTTTTTTTTTTTTTTTTTTGCAACTAAGGAAGTCCTAAGGTGCAGCCGTGATAATTTAATTTATACATGAAAGCTGTCTCTTCTGCATAGACTCATGTTTGGCTTTTTCTTGTGTCATAGATGCTGTGGTTCAGGTTAAACACTGTGCACTTCTGGAGTTGTTCCTCCTTCTTGTCAGCACCTGCTGGCTTCTCAAAGTGGTTATAATGTGGCAATTTTAAACCAGAAGAAAAACCTCAAAGAATTATAACCAATCAGAAATCCTAGCCATTTCAATTCTGTATTCTTTATTGTTGTGTGTATTCATATATATATATATATATATATATATATATATATATATTTACAGAAAATTATGAAAAAAACCAAAACAAATAAAATCCCTAGGAAAGAAATCCTCGGCCCACTGGCCTTAGTACCATTCTCATTAGGAAAAACAAAGTAGGCGACGGTCTCTCTCTTACCTACGCAGCACACATCTGATCACTTGGCCATGTCATGGAAACTGATACTTCCACCATCAGCCATAAGAGTTCAGACGCCCCCGGTAGTTTTAATCTAAAAGCTCAGTCATCCTGTTCTTCCTGCTTTGTCAGCTTTTGTGGAGAGTTTTTCCCTTCTTCCCATTAGCAGAAATTTGGTTCACGCCGTTAAACAGCAGCACATAGTTTCCAAACTGCATATCAAGGCTGCAACGCAATCTTCAGGTCCTGCAGCCATTCGTAAACCTCTTTAGCTTTGTTCTTGGGTAGAACATACAATGTCTGCAGAGTCCCTTGACTGAATGACAGCCTTTGAATGCCATTGTTATGTACTCATACAGAGATGTACAGAGGTACATACACAGACGGTGGACATAGCGGTTGTAATCACGTGCACTGCTGGCTAGTCTTCTTTCAAACGGGCTTACAAATTTCCCCACAACTGAATACCACGTAAGATAAGGACATAACACAATGCTTTTAGAATTCTATCACTGTCTGCACTAGTCATAAATCAGGGAAAGGGAGACTTTGTGGGGTTGTTACCTAAAGACAGGCAGTGGTCTGGGGTGCGGGCTTGTTCTCTAGCACTGGCAAATACTTTGAAACCAACATGGAAAATATAAAATGAATGTTTGAGAGGGGCTCTCCGTTCTGGAATGAATTAATCTATCTATAAACTCATGTGGGATATGAAAATCCATGAGATTGTCAGCCTCTACTGTCTCAACAGGTTGAAAAAGGTAGGCTGAATTAGAAGAGTGGGGAGAAGGGGATGGGGGAAGGAGGAAAGGAGAGAGGAGGAGAGAGAGGGAAAGAGAGAGACAGGAGAGAGGGGAGACCTTCAACCCAGAAGCCAGCTGATCGCAGTGCAGCAGAAGCACAAGCGCTATTCCAGACCAAGGGCATGCTGTCACCTGATCCCTCATGGGGGCCAGGGGGAGGGGAGGGAGAGGGAGAGGGAACACATGGGACAGAAAAGAGCAAGGCACAAGACATTTAAAAAGGAGTGCCCACATTGAAACAGACAGACAAAAACCATCACACGCACCCACACAGAAAATAATCGGGATAACGACGACACCACCCGTGCGCTAACCACCCATGCATGTCTGCCAGCAGCTTCTGACCACAAGCTATCAGGATTTGGCAGTGGTTTTTCTTATTTCTTTCTTTCTTTTTTTGTAGTGTTCAACATGCACACACAATACAGGTCTTTCTGTTTTTTCAATTGTTCCCTGTGCAGGCCTTTAAGGATGAGCTCCAAAACCACAAATGCTCAAGATCCTTATTCAAAGAGACCCCTTGTGTCAGCCTTGCCTGAAAACATCTCATACTTATGCTCACATTTGTCTTGACTCTCAGTGAGATCCTTAAAAAAAAAAAAAAAACATATGGTGAATTGTTGCTTGGTTTTCTTTTGGAGAAAATCCATTTGGTTTTGAAACATGCCCATGCACTTCCAATCTTCCAATACATGCTTATTCCAATCAGTTATTGGTAAGAACAAACAGTCAACATACATGAACATCTAGAATAAACTTCATACATACTCTAGCAACACAAGCTTGAATAAAGTATTTTAATGAGTCTTCAAAGGGAAATCTTGAAAAAGTCTTTTTTTTTAAATGGAAGAAAATAGAAATATGGAAAATCCAGTATAACACTTTTAAGACCATTAAGATGGCCATAGCTGGCTGACTTAGTACGTCTTGTCATTTATGTTGCTAAGTTATCAAGCCACTTTTTTTCCCTCTGGGACCAGGTCACCATAAGGAACTTCTCAAGCTCACCATCAATTGAATGCCAGTCATGGTTGCTGCACTGACAAAGCTGGGTCTCCAGTAGGATACAGTCAACTCCACAGTATCATCTCCTTTTTAATCTGCTTCCTCCCTCTGTAATTTCCACATCCTGTTACGCTTTACAGCTGACTTGGAAAATTTCTTTCCTTTTCATCAGGTAAAGTTTCAGACATTACTTTGTTTTTCATTAGTGCTTTCGGCTGTGGGCTTGAGAGTCAGCAGGTCAAAATATTGGGGGACACTTTGAGAAGTGACTATGAGGATCAAGGATGAGTTGAAGAATGAATTTATAAATGCACTATGCAGGGGTCATCTGGGATGATCCACCACCACTTATCTGGTCCTCTGTGGCTAAGGAGTCCAATTGAAGGCATGAGAGACGCATGATACAGGAAGGGTGTGTTTGCTACTTTCTCCCACAGACTTCTCACACCTGTTAGTCTCACCCTATGACTCTGGTGTGGTGTTGTCTCCAAATAAAAAGATGGTGGCTGCTTCTCAGCCTTGTGTCCTGCCACCAGTATGCTAACTGATCCCAATCCAGGTGTTCAGACTCATTTCCCTTTCGATCTCTTTAAAGATGAGTAGCTCCTAATCAGAACCCACTTTTAGTTGATATTTTCACTTTCAGACCAGAGGACAACTTTCCCAGTTTGAATAACCTATCCAGATGTTTAAGGACCAGTTCCACAAACAAGAGTTTGGGTTTTATTGAGGGACCTAAAACATGGAACTTTGGAGCTTTAGGGATAAATTGTCACTATTTCTTCAAAGAGCCCAGAGAATTTGGAAATCTAGGTTGTACTTGATCCTGGAATTAATTATAGGAAGCCCAAAACTTGGAGTACTTTAAAATAGTCAGGAGGTACTAACAACTAAATTTAATGTAGCTAGCTATACGGACATCGCCTTACAACATGCACATTTTGTATCTAACTGATGTCTTATGACTATCAGGTGTACCTTTAACTTATTGCATGGACATTAGGACAGAATGAAGTGGGAGTAGGCTGGAGTGGGCTTTCCTACCTAAGTCTGTGTTGCTCTGGGGCAGAGAGAGAGAGAGAGAGAGAGAGAGAGAGAGAGAGAGAGAGAGAGAGAGAGAGAGAGAGAGAGAGCGAGCTGCTGAGCTGACCCTGAGTAAAGCATACTTTCCAACAACAGCACAACACAGATTTTACTCATAGATTTCCAACTTCTAAGTTCTCAGACATAGTTGTCAGTGTGGGCTAGATGTCATTCTTTAAGCTGAATGAACACTACAGGGCTGGCTGATCACCTCTTGTCACTTAAATGATAGATTTTCACCCTGCACAGCATGTAAAGTGATTGAAGCAGGCCCTTTCCCAAATGATTCCCTTGGATTCAGTTACTAAAATAATGCAGCCCCCTTTTAAACTAGCATATCTGCTCTAAGCACAATCTTGCCAAGGTTAGATTTGAGCTGACTAAAAATTATATACAGATGAAACAGGACTCTTGCTTACTGATTAAAAGAAGGAAGGAAAGACAGAAAGAAAGAGAGAAAGAAAGAAAGAAAGAAAGAAAGAAAGAAAGAAAGAAAGAAAGAAAGAAGGAAAAGAAAGATCCACTTTTTATATTTGGCTTGCAAAGTACCACACACCAAAGACTACCTTAAAACCCTACTTCATGCTCTTCAAATAGACTTGGGGAACATTCTTTGGGAAGCTGTTTCCCACTGATGGGAACATAAGATTAAATGAATTGAGACTGGGTGGGTAAGTTCACGGAGGAACATGACCTTTACTTCAGACGATAGCTCTGTAGACAAATACCCCTCCCCATTTAATTAAAAACAGTTTTTTGAAGTCTCATTTAGTCCAAGGTTTGGTGTAATTTTATATGTAAGGAGGAATGTGTGAAGGACACCCTGCCACACTTGCCATCAGAGAGGAGGCCTTATCTCAGACTGCAACCATTGGCCACTGAACTCACAACAGAAATGACAAGACTCAGTGTAGTGTCAAGCATTAAAAAATGATGGTGCATTTATGAGACCAGTCTATTTGGAGTGTGAATTCCCTTGAAGACTGCATTTCTCTTTTTCCCAGGCTTGCCTTGCCTCTCAGCAGCGCTGAGAAAGTAGATAAACAGTAATGTGATACCAACCGTGAACTGCTGGTTCTGTCGTCGCCGTGGTGTCTACAGACGGGAACAGAGGATTGGAGGAAGGGAAGAAACAGGAGGAACAGCATGCAAAAAAAGGGAGAATGGAAAAAATGGAACAGATAATATATGAGCAAGCTTTCAAAGAACACCGCGTGACAAGCAATAATAAATGAAAAGCAAAGAGCATCTGAAGTGAGTGCACTGTTTTAAGACATGCCTTGAGCTCAAAGCTGGGAGCCAGGGAGGAAAACAGTAAATTCTTTGGTTCTGGGTGTCTTGCCAGGACACATGTATTTGTGAGTCAATAATCAGGGGACATGCAAAGTGATGAGAAACACCAGTGCAAACTCAGTGGCTGCTAGATGGCTCTTAAAGCATCGAAGCTCAGGACTTCAGCTCAGGACTGTGACAAAAAAGCTCAGTTGGAAGGCTGGTTAAACAATGGATTCAGACATTCAAACATTGCCTTTTTTTAAAAAACCCAAACCATCCTGATGCTGGGGCTTCTTGACTGGCAATTAGGCATCACAGGAATCAACTCCACGGTCAGGAGGACACTCTTCCAGGTGATGCTCAGATGCTTGCAGGTTAATATACGACACAGATTCCAGTTCTGTATATGCTGTATTACTTCATCAGAAGTTTGCTGGTAAGTTCCATTCATGGAGTGGCCATGGGAGTGAATATGTTCAGGACATATATACACACATTCAACACACACACACACACACACACACACACACACACACCAGATTCTTCATTCTATAGGATATGTCATAATCTGTGAGGCCTGTCACAAAAACACACATGTTCACACAACTAGACAAACACCACTTGAGAATTTCAAAGTCTCAAGAATCCAGTCATCCCTGTCTGCGTTCAGCACCGCATCCCCACGTTTGCCGGTTTGGCTGTCAGGGTTCGGCTGTGTTGGCTGGGTCAGGAGACAGAGCCATCATTTTCGTTGGTGCTCTCCTACTTGTGGCCTATCTCTTTTAGTTTCGATGTTGTTCCTATTAGGTTGTGGCAATGGCTTCTCTTTACAGGAAAATTCCTCCAAAGCATCAAGAAATAAATGTGCTCTCCTACTTGTGGCCTATCTCTTTTAGTTTCGATGTTGTTCCTATCAGGTTGTGGCAATGGCTTCTCTTTACAGGAAAATTCCTCCAAAGCACCAAGAAATAAATTTTTCTTCATGTTTGGCTACATAAGTGGGGTGAATAGCTAACAAAGTGCATGGTGAACTTCTTTTTCCAGTCACCTTAAATACAGTTCTTCTAGCAAACTTCATTCTAATGTCAATGTGCCAGCTCCCTGCTCTCCCCTTTCACGTCTGCAGTTTTCAAGTGTGTTTCTTCTACCAGCCCTTCCCTGGTCAAAAGCTGCTGCTGGTGAAGTGGGATGCTGAGGGTTAAAAATCACAAGCAGTACCCTGCCATTTTCATCATGGAGCTCCTTAGCTGGCAATTGTTTCCAATGTCTTGAACTTGATACAGGCAATGTTTAAATGCACTGGAACTTCAAACATAGAACTTTTTTTGGGGGGCGGGGGTGGGTGTTAAGTGAGCCTGGAGCTTCTGATGTATAAATATGACACATGAATTCACACCAGTGTTCCCCTTCAGTTGGCATGCTTTCTGGGACCACAGGGGCCCTGTTACCATAAAAAAAAAAATCAAAAAAAATCAGAGCCCTTCTAAGGAGCCAGAATTAACCAGAGGTCTGGGAGGCCAATGCAGCTTGATATAACTGATCAGTAAATTTCTCAAGGATAGAGGAAGGAGAGAAAACCATAAAATACACTGCAGAAGAATATAATACTTACAAGTCAAGTCTGCGTGCCTAAAATAGCAGTGAAAACAATACAGGAAGTTGTACAGTTGAAACAAACCCTACATCAGATCCTTAAAGGTGACAGATTCACCTCCATAGTTGAGATATCCCAGACCAACATCGGTGTGAGGTACTTTAAATTTGAGGGGCAGGGTCAAAGGCACATTTGTATATGCATGTAATCCATTTTATAGGCAGGCATTGGCTCCTTTCCAAAACAGAAGAGAAAAGCAATAAATGCTTTGGCTCATTATTTTTTGTGGTAGCACTTCTAACACACCTTTATTTTTTTTGACCAGGTAAATCCTTAGTATAAAATGAAAAAATGGGGGTGCTTAAAACACTAGGGTTAGAAGTCTAAAAAATCAGATGTCAGGAGTGACCAATGATCCCAATTTACTGTCTTCCTGTATTACAACATTATGTCAGCTTCATGACAAAATTAAACCAGATGAAGCCAGGCGTCAGCTCTTACATGGGCAGCAGACAATACACGCAGCCATGACCACAGTGCATTTTGCTCCCAACTCTAGGGATGCGAAATCCATCAATTGAACCCAACAGAAGAGAAAAAGGGGTTTTGAGGAAAAAAAGCTCTAAAACAGTTAAGCAGACACATATTCAAGTCAAACAACATGATTACTGCAGTTGGAAATGGAAAACCTAAGAGCAGCAAAGGATGGGCTGCTGCGGCAGGAACACAGGTTGGCTCTGGTGTTAAAATCGGGATTAAGAGTGTCTGGGGAGCTACTGACTCCTTTCTCATAGAGCATCTGGTATGTATGAGGCCTGAGCAGAGGCTACTTCAAGTCAAGAGAGAAAGGAAAATGCTTTAGAAGTGACTGTGTGCTCCCCATTGTGGGGGCGGGGGCAGATATTCTAGGACAGGACCTAATTCTCCTTCATAACTGCATTATGACACCATGCAGAAACCATATACAGCTTGGCTCTGGGGTGAGTGGAGATCGAGTCAGCATGATTTAGTAGGGTGTCTTCATCAGAAAATGGAGAAAAGTACAAGCCCACCCCCGACCCCAAGAATTAGCTTCTGGGTGATCACTGGAGCATTATAATATTTTAATTTTGTGGGCAAATGCAAACATTTCCAATGTAAGTTGTAAATGCAATAAATGGCTTGAAATACTGTCTAACTGCCCCCACAAAGGTTTTTAAACCTCATTTTTTTTTAAAGCCTTTGAGCTAGGCCAGTGAGAAAAATAGGTCACAAAAAGTTGAATGGGTAAACCATTGTCTCTAGTTTTAATTATACCAAGGGCAAATGCATTTGTGTATTGTTTTATATGTTTAAAAGGAAGGATGAAACAAATAAAACTGCCAACCCCTGTTCTCACAAACACTGAATGTATGTATAGTCTTCCTTGGCATTTCCTAGCTGTTTCATGAGTCTACAATGAAAAGAAGGTATGTAAGCTAGGGCACATAATGACGTGGAAGGCACTCTGTTACAACACTGACTTCCCTTTTTAGGCTCACAGCCCCGTAAACAGTTAATGTGGCTCCACCTCAAATCAACAAAACAACCACAGATATTTCAGGTTGAGGTATAAGATATTTACATAATGAAAAAGCTATGACAAAAAAAACGTGTGAGGTTAGAGACAGTAGCCATTTAACAAAGTAGCCAAGAAGAGAGGGGAAACCAACAAACAAACAAACAAAAAATCCCCCCAAAAAACAAAACCCCAACCTGCCTGAGAGACAGCTGGGCAATATTTAGTTGAAACAGTCATGTGTAAGCCCCACTGTGGCCCATTCTAATCCTTTCAGATGGATTCTCTCCAACTCAGAATTGTTCATTGAGTGTGACAGACTGGGGGCTTAAAACTAATCCATAAATTAGTCCGTGGTCTCCAACACAACGGGTGCCATAAATGAAAATGAAAATCCTAGAACAAAATTAAATTCATCACTTTAAATACTTTTCTTACCAATTGATCTGAGCTGTTCTTGCATTATGACACATAGTCATGGTAAGGTACCACGTGGCTACGTGAATCCAGGGTGGACATTAGAAAATGCTGAGGGTACAGCCTGGAGCTTAGTACAACCTGGGTACAGCAGAGCTTAGCTGTAAGGAATTCAAACTGCTCTGTTTTGCTGGCTTAGATGAAAATGGGACAAGCAGTCTGGCAACATTTTAATACACTTTCCCCTAGTTTATTTTCTTAACTAAAGTCAATACGGAAGCAACGGGCTTTCTTAATTGAATTCCTCTTCAGTCTCGGCTATGGAGGGGCTTTAAATCTCAGCACCAGGGCAGGCAAAGAATTCCCCTGACAATTTTACTTCATAGCTGTGCTGTGCTTGCCAATATATATTAAATATGGGTATTTTTCTTTCTCCTTCCCCCACTTCAACTTATTTGAAATCTGTTGAAAGAAAAAAAAAAGTGCTGAGAAATTTGAGTTTGAAATGTATTTTCTACTGGTTTTCCAATTAATTTCTTTGCCACCTATGTTCTTCTTAATTAACCTACCATTCCTTAATGATGGAGAAAGTGGCTAAGAACAGAGCTAAGCCAAAATGCCTATGAGAGAAAGCTATTGTGTGTGTGTGTGTGTGTATTAATTAACCTACCATTCCTTAATGATGGAGAAAGTGGCTAAGAACAGAGAAAAGACAAAAGGCCTATGAGAGAAAGCTATTTTACGTGTGTGTGTGTGTGTGTGTGTGTGTGTGTGTGTATGGGGTTAACGAGTGTTATATATGTGTGTGTACTCACCTGTGTGGGTGCATGTGAAGGCAAGAGTTGACATCAGGGTGTTCTCAACTGCTTCTCCACCTACTTATTTGTTTATTCATTTATTTATTTATTTTTAGACAGAACCTCTCACTGATCCTGGAGCTTGCCACTTTGTCTAGACTGGGTTTCTATAAGCTCCTGGGATCCTCTTGTCTCTGCTCCCAAGTGCTGGGATATAAGCATGGCTGTCACACCCAGCTTCTTTCATGAGTGTTGGAACCCTAACTTAGGGTTTCATGCTTGAGGAGCAAGCACTTTACCCATGGAGCCACCTCCCCAGCCCTCGCTTATTTTTTCAAATGTCACCTTCCCCTTAGAGTGAAGATTGTGAGCTCCAGAACAGCAGGAAGGGGAGCTGATTTTGTTGTTGTTGTTAAGTAATTTCAAGTTTTGTTAAAAGCTTCTTCAAAATTGTTCACTCTGTGCAGCTCATGCC